TGGTCAGAAGTAGCAGAGACCTACATCTGCAAAATCGATATCAGCAACACCACCACAGCATTTTTCCACCACTAAGTTGCGCCCAAGTATATTCAAAGTTTTTGAGCGTACAGCTGTACAAAACAGAAGTAACTGCAAAACATGATAGCATATATTTTCGCTTACTGTCTGTTTCTTGAGCGATTAACTGCTTGAAAATACGATCGCACTGTTTGTTAGCATCGCACTCAGGTGACTGAACAAAGTAGGAGTCGGAATCGCCACCCCCGATTCTTCGATAATCAATGCCAGAATCCAGTGAGAGCGTTTGACATCTTTCCTGAAAGCAAATGGCGGTTTACGCTCGTTACAAGGAAGCAGTCGTATGTTGCTAGAATTGGATACGAAAGATAGTTCGTACGGCAAACCAATCAACGCTAAGAGCAGAAAAGGAAGAATAGTTCTTAACTGATTATTCAAACCGCTACACCACGAACTCCACATAGAGAGTTCAAAAAAAACTGAACCAAATTGTCGAATGTTTGAACTTGTTTTAGAAGTTGAGCGAGTAAATAAAAATATCCATAATTGTTTTAAAAAGCTACCTTTAAATCCCTCTCAAAAGTATTTTTTTCCTCAAACAGCTAATAGAAAAGATGCCGAGGTAACTAACAAGGGAAGGATGCGGAGTCGCAGTGGCGATCCGCCAAGAGATGTATACCATAAGAATCACTATTAAAAATGTATCCCTAATCTGTTTTCCGTATCTGCTGAACGACATTCTGGGAGGAGCCGCACGCATTTTTTCCTGCTCAACTTCTTGTAAATGCTTTTACAACTAAGAAAAACAATAATGCAAAACAAACTAATCGCAGGATTCGAACCCGGTTACAAAATACTTGAGCGCAAGAGACTTACCACTGCGCCATCACTCACCCAAGGTTGCTGCTATAGTTTGTCTAGACAAGCGTTTTCAAGAAATTGAGTAGGAAAAACGTGTGCAGCTCCTCCCACAATGTCGTTCAGCAGATAAGGAAAACAGATTTAGGATACATTTTTGATAGAGATTCTTATTGTATACATCTCTTGGCGGATCGCCACTGCAACTCCGCATCCTTCCCTTGTAATAACTAGTACACTGCGATTAGTTCACTCCCATAAAGTGCATAAAATCGGCTAGAAAACCTATTTTTGATAATAACCCAAAAGTGATGACAATATCTTGTTACGAATCAACTCCTTATAACATAGTCTTTCATTCTGTCACAAACATTCACTGTACTATAGCGAAAAATAATCCTGAAACATAGAAAAAAGAGAAGATGTGCCTTTTTTAGGCAGAAATATAAAACGATGAAGATCGCATGTCACAAAACATCTTTTATCAGAGATGTAACTCTACAGAACCAAAACACATAAGGAGGGCGTTACCTGTAGTATACCAATGAATGGCACAAA